CTCCCCTCTCCTTTTTCCCCTTTCCCCATTCATAGGGTCCCATGAAGCGGTGGGGGTTCAAGGGCATGCCCGCATCCCACGGAGCATCACTCTCACATCGAAGCCACGGTTCCACAGGAGGCCGACAGGACCCTGGCAAGGTGAGGCTGGTTGCAAGCCGGCATGGTGCGGTGAGACTGCAGTGAGTGTGTGTGTGTGTTGAGGTTGCATCCCACGGAGCGTCTCTCTTCCATTGAAGCCACAATTCTACTGGCGGCCGGCAGGACCCCGACAACTTGAGGCGGGTTGCAGGCATTTGTTGCTAGAGAACGTGTATTTTCAAGGGCATGCCCGCATCCCATGGAGCGTCGCTCTCGCATCGAACCCACGGGTCTACTGGCGGCCGGCAGGACCCCGGCAAGGTGAGGCTGGTTGCTGCAGGCATGATGCGGTAAGACTGCAGTGAGTGTGTGTGTCGAGGTTGCATCCCACGGAGCATCGCTCTCTCACATCGAAGCCATGGATCCACAGGAGGCCGGCAGAACCCCGGCAAGGTGAGATTGGTAGCAGGCATGCTCAAAGTTACTTGCTAGAACAAAAGAGCACATGTAGGGGTAAGAGTGCATTGCTGGTCCCTTGACCCCTCCTCTCTCGCTGGTGCCTTGACCCCTCCTCTCTCGCTGGTCCCTTGACCCCTCCTCTCTCGCTGGTCCCTTGACCCCTCCTCTCTCGCTGGTCCCTTGACCCCTCCTCTCTCGCTGGTCCCTTGACCCCTCCTCTCTCGCTGGTGCCTAGGAACAAAACGATTTATCAACGCTATTTACTGATTGTTGCATGTGCGCATTACTTGTCCCCATTGTTGCATTTTTTTCCTGCACCCCCTGCTCCCCCTGCCCCCCCTGCTCCGCCTGCTTCCCTGCTACCCCTGCTCCCCTGCTCCCTTTGCTCCACCTCAGGTGTTCAAGAACAAGAAGATGGCGGGGCAGATGGGCAACAAGCAGCGCACGGTGCAGAGCGTGTGGGTGTACAAGGTGGAACCTTCCAGAGGGCTGCTGTGGGTGAAGGGGCAGGTGAGTTCTTCAACGACCTAACAGGGCATTGTTCTGGGCTTGGAAGGAGGTGGGTGGAGGACGGTGCAGAGCGTGTGGGTGTACAAGGTGGAACCAGCAAGTTTGTTGCTGTGAGTGAAGAAGGGACAGGTGGGTGCTATGTTGAGGCCGGTCTGTGCCTTAATCTGTATAATTTGTCCCTTCCCAACAGGTTCCCGGGCACAGTGGCAACTTTGTGTTTGTGAAGGATGCAGTGAGGAAGCACGAGGTGCAGGGGCCAGACGCGAAAGAGTATGGTGGGCTGCAGCTGCCCTTCCCTACCTTCTACCCCACACCTGGGGAGGATTTGACAGCGCTGCCCCCGCTCCTGGCTGATGTTGGGGAAGTAGATCCCTTCACAGCTGAAGGATAGACAGGCAGGTTTGGACTCTGAAGAAAAATGACTCAGCAATAGCCATATGGCTTATGTGGGGCATATTGATACGAGGTTTGTCCCGATCCTTGTGCACATGGGCTTGGTAGGAGCTTAGTGCACAAAAGTGCAGTCTTTTGATTGAGCGCTCGAAACTGCAGACTGAAAGAAGCTGAGTGCCGTGGTACATGCTATAATGGCCGACATGTCACCTCCAGCAAGTTAATCACATGTGCTACCTGTATTCATAGGACGTCCGTGATAACTCCCTTCCCGAACAACCAGAGCATTCATTAAGGGCACTTGCGTTGATGATTTTTGTAACAGACAAGTTTAGATTGTTGACGCTGCATTGCATTGCAACGGCATTTTTATTGTGAATTCAGCATACCGTATTGCAGCGGCGTTGCTTCTCATAATGATCCTGCACCTAACCAGTCGTGAAGTATGAGGGAAACTATCATTATTGCAAGCTTCTCGTTTTCTCATACGGAACGTGGGAAAGGGTACTCCCATTCAAACTTCAAAGATGTATCGGTTGACTGTATCGCAATCGGATGCGCCCATTGCACAGGAGTCGTCGATTGACGTCAAACATGACTGGATACGTCGAACTGTCCGTCGATCACTCTCTCTGGTCGTCGTCACCAAGGCTGCTATGGCGAACCGCGGATTCCTCTGCGAGCATTTACCGACAGCGTCAGTCACATTGACGTGCAGAGGATTCCAGTTAGTGCTGACGGGCTTAGGGAACAAAAGTTTGACGGTCACCACGTTTTAGCCTGTGTGCATGGTCGCCACCAATAGCTGCTCGCGAAGCACAAATTCGCTCTGACGGGCATCCGTGTATGTGCAACGAAGGAATTTCGGCAGTGGTTCCCCTCCCTTCCTCCAGTGGTTCGCAGCAGCTGCTGGAACTTTCCAGCACGAGCAGCTAGCATCGCAACCTGAGATGGGGAGATACGTTTCAGTTGTTTTGAGTGTCTGTTTTGTGGTTTTCTGGACTCCTTCAGCAGTTTTATCTCAAACTGCTCGTGTTCACCAGCCAACATGACGATCAAGGCTGTAGTGGTTCTTACCGGCTCCGAGGGTGTCAGTGGCACTGTCACCTTTGAGCAGCTCGAATCTGGTGAGTCTCTATGTCTTCCTAATCCACTCTTTTACGGTGAAAATCAAAGTGACAGTGACAGTGACATCATGATTAATTGTTCTGACAAAAAGATCGCTATCTGTAACGCCGTGCTATCAGGCTCGACTGTGGTGAACGGCAAGATCACTGGCCTCAAGCCCGGGCTTCACGGATTTCACGTGCACGCCCTGGGTGACACCACGAACGGCTGCATGTCCACAGGTCGCACTCATATCCCTGCCCCCAGAAATGAAGTCGAATTGTTTACCGCTTGTCATTCGTAAGTTCGTTCTCGAAATCGAGGCACCTCTGCATGTCCTGCCGTTTTCTGTATTCTTGATTTGTTAAGTTTGTCCGCGACGGAACGTCTGCCCGTATCCTATATCCGCCTCTCGTGGTCTTTGCCTTGGATTCACGTCTATCATCGTTGTTCTTGCCCGAATTCACGTTAGTGCAAGATCCTCTGACACATCTCGACCTTGGAAGGTCTCTGCAATTTCATCAATTTGCGTACGTTGTCGGTTTCCGCCACTGGCTGATCTACGTCAGGCCCGCACTTCAATCCGGCGAACAAAACTCACGGCGCTCCGGAAGACGAGGAGAGGCACGCGGGAGACCTTGGGAATGTCGTTGCTGATGAGGCTGGTAAGGGTGCCTTTTTAGAATGGAGACCGCCATTCAATAGTTTCGCGTTTCCACTCGCTCTTCTGCATGACCATGTGTTTGTGCAAGTTCCTACCAGGTGCAGTGAGAAGTTTGCAAGCTTCTTACTTCCAAGTCTTATTCTGGAATTGGTGCCATGATCGTTTTTGCAGGGGTTGCGGAGTTCACCATAACAGATTCACAGGTATGCATTTGGCTCTCAGTTCTCCCTTCCCCAAATTGTGATTTCTCTTCAATTTTCTGTGCAATTGCCGGCCACGTACTATCATGCACTCATCCTCCCCCCTCCTCCACCCCAACCTTCAGATCCCTCTGTCTGGCCCTAACTCTATCATTGGCCGTGCTGTTGTCGTGCATGCTGACATCGACGACCTTGGCAAGGGTGAGAGCATGCAAGGAGGGTGATGAGTGAACAGTGGATTGTAAGGGTGCGTCAGATCCATTGTCGGAAAAATCCGGCCGGCCGGATCTAGCGAAGGTTACACATTCACGACATTCGCAGGGTATTTCGTTAACTTCGCACGATCCGGCCACCTGATAAAAATTTGATGGCCGGTTTGATGGCCGGTTTAGCATTCGACAACTTTCCGACGTGCAAACGAATCGAGAGTCGACCACCTTGTTGACTCGTCAGCGCTACAGTACTATGCGACTTGGCCAACATACCCAAGCGACTCAACGTGTCTGATCGTAGTGTGCACATTAGCGGTCGTGTCACTTCAGTAACAATACATGCGACTCCGTCGCACAATCCGGCCAACTGTGCGACCTGCAAATCTGACACTTTTGCAAACCGGCCTGTAAATCGGCCACCAAATCTGTCGGATTGCAACACCTTGAAAATGTGGCTGGATGGTGGTCGGTTTAGCATTCGATCATTCGGCCGACTTTGGCGAAAAATATAGTTGACCAAAAGGGCAACAAATTTGCAGCCAAATCACATTATAGCGGATCTGACGCACCCTAAGGTCTGCTGGTGGTATTCTTGAGAGGATGTAGTCGGCTAATAAACCTCACGATTTGTATATTTTGAATCGTCATGCATCTGTTACCCCATCCAGGTGGTCACGAGCTCAGCAAAACCACCGGGAATGCTGGAGGCAGGCTTGCATGCGGTAAGCTAACCACTAGCACATCCAACTTCATGTGGTTCCCGTAAAAATCCGTGGCTATCCTAGTTGAGTATGTATGTACCGGGCTCATGAGTTTCTTTTTGTCTCTGGCAGGTGTTATCGGCTTCCAAGCAGCAGCTTAGATAATCACTTAACCAGCTTACCCAGAGAAACGTCTGTATGATGGTTTCGGATTACTGAATTGTAACGATACAACGATTAGTGGAACATTTTCCTCAAGGATCCAGATTTGCACTTCAATCTTGCCGAAGGCCACGTGTGCGCTGCTGACGTGTTTCCAGACGTGGAAGCGTCAGGAAGGAGACCAAATTCAGGAATTTCTGCAAAAAGCCAACTCGTGAGCGAATCACAACTGTGACACCTTTCCCGCACTTCACACCTGAAACGTCGCCCAGAGTAGTCTAATAACCCGGTTTATAGTGCGTTACCGTATGGTGCAGTACTGTGCTCGGTACCTCTGAATTCCCCTCCAGAACTGGTCACCTACATGTTCCCATCACCATCACATTCCAAACCACCAAGCTACCGCAACCAGCACGCTTCAGCTGCCAAGATTCCACAGCGCCAATTGCGGGTCCGCCATTGCCGGTTCTCCGCCTGTGAGGAACTTGTTGCCCGCTTCGCCACCCAACGCAATGGCATCCTGCGGTCTGATTTCCGCGTCCCTTCGCGTCGCCCCGTCCCTTGCTCCCGCGACTGGTCTCCCCTCGGCTTCACGACCCTCCGTGAACAGCCAATCAGCATGCGCGAGGACGTCCGTGATCCGCGTTCGCAGTAGCATGAAGACGGAATCTTCCGACTTTTCAAGGGGTCCCTCATCTGTCATTGCCAAGATGGCAGTCCCCGCCGTGCTTGCCGCTCTCCTCGCCATGCCGCTCTCCCCCGCAGCCGCGTCGGCAGCAGGAATTAACGCCGTCGCCGTACTGACGGGGAGCTCCGGGGTTTCCGGGACCGTCACATTCTCGCAGGAGGGATCAGGTAAATTCGCGAATCAAATGGTGCATCCTTCAGACTTTCAGATTATTTGGTTACTTTGAGAATGGATGCAATCTGGAATTTCCCAAGATCAAAAGAGGTAGCTATGTACCGTTGGCGGGAGGGATTGAGCAAGGATCAGGCAAATACGATTTTCATCCCAATATGACTCTGACGCTCCTGAGGCGCCTTGTAACCGGCAGAGGGGATTGGCTATGCTTGACATTGAACAATCGACAATGGCAGAACCCTTGAGCCGCTTCCCCGTCCTTTGCGCCCGCTTCAGGGCCGACATCAACTCTGAAAGCATTTTCTTTTTTATTTCCCCTCCTTCCTGCTGTCCTATTCTCGTTCCTTCGCATCCACTCCCACCATCCTCGAAAACTCCAGGCCCTGCAGAAGGGAGTACATTGGAGGGCTGACTCTCGGGCCTGCCTGTATCGTAATTCCAGTTCCCAGCATCAGGAGTATTCACAGCTCCCATCCCATCCATCCCGCTGATCCCCTATCCTGGTCCTTTCCCCTTTGATCTCCCCCATCTCCGCCATCTCACTTCCCCCAGGCCCCACGGAAGTGAGTGCGACAGTGGCAGGGCTGACTCCAGGCCTGCACGGCTTCCACGTGCACAAGCTGGGAGACCTCTCCAACGGCTGCATGTCCACTGGTAAGGGTTTCTTGTGCTTGTTACAGAGCTGTGCTATAACGAGTCTGAGACAGACTGGCTGAAATCCTTCACGGCTTCCACGTGCACAAGCTGGGGGACCTCCCCAACGGCTGCATGTCCACTGGTGAGAGCAGGTTGTACTCGTAATATGTGCTATAACGAGTCCGCATGCAACATGTTGAATGAAAGCCTTCCACGTGCACAATATGGACCTGTCCAATGAGTGCATGCCAGGTGTGGACTTGTTATATTTATACATAGGCATGGTCATCGTCTGGGCTCTCTTATTTCTATCTGTAGCTGTTATGGTATAGTAATCATGGTGAGAACATTACCCTCTGGTGACTGTCGAGACATCCTAGGTGTCACTTGAGTCAATCATAGACTCTTGTCTTTGCCTCTTACGTAACACTCACTGGATCCCTACCAGGCCCGCACTTCAATCCGGCGGGCAAGACCCATGGAGCACCAGGGGATAGTGAGAGGCACGCAGGAGACCTTGGAAACCTGGTGGCGAATGAGTCTGGTGAGTTGATGGATATCCGTTTGTTGCAATGCAGTTTACGAGGGTTTTCTTCTTAAATTTACCAGTCCTGCTTCACAGTTATGAACATCCAACCCCCTTTTTGTCATTCTCTTGTTCTCGCCCGTGTCGAACTATCCAACTCCCTGGTTCAGGTGTGGCAACTGTGTCTCTGACTGACCTCCAGATTCCTCTCTCGGGTCCCAACTCTGTTCTTGGCCGTGCTGTTGTCGTGCATGCTGATGCGGATGACTTGGGCAAGGGTGAGTGGGAAGGATGGGAAGCAAGGTTTTTGGGGCTGAGATGCTCTTGAAATGATTTTAGAGGCGCCACAAACTCCAGTCTCTGGCTCAGGCTCCAAGTCTGTCCTTGGCTGTGCTGTTGTCACGCATGCTGATGCGGACGACTTGGGCAAGGGTGAGTGGGAAGGATGGGAAGCAAGGTTGGGGTCGCTGTGGGTATGCACAAAGTGTTATCGGGCCAAGGATTTATCTGCGTATTTTCGCCTCTAGGTTCGCTCTTCCACATTTGCTTTGTGTGATTATTTCGCTGTATATCCGCCTAGAACTGTACATATGGTACAGGTTGCCCTTGTCCCAATAATATGTGTATTGTGTGTGATGTGTGCATGGTGATACCGTGCAGGTGGTGTTGAGCTGAGCAAGGCCACGGGCAATGCTGGTGGCAGGGTGGCATGTGGTAAGTTGCTATGCTAGCTGTGTTGATTGTGCCATAATTGTGAAGTATTTTAATTGGTTGTTATTTATCGTAGCCGCGCAGCCACGTGGACCCACTTGTATGCTTGTCTTTGCATTCACGTCCCCCCCTCTCCCCCCCACCCTCCCTCACACCTTTCCATTGCAGGTGTGATTGGATTGTCGGCAAACTAGATGCACGAGGCTGTTAAAGCTACCTTAGGCTGCTTGCATATTGTGTGAAGATGTAAAGAAAATGCACTCAAAGCTCAATTGCAACACCTGCCATTTATCATGTGTTGTGTCCCTGGTTCAGCTAACATTGCAAGATGTTGACTGGTGATGTTGAGGTATAGAGAGTTTTGTTCATGCATTTTTGTTGAATTTGCATTGTGGTGTAGTCACCGTAACACCGGTTGGGGTTGATGTAAAGCGGTTTTTGGCAGTTTCTTCAGTGCTTGCATTTTTCGGCTGGACTGTCGGCGGAAGAATTTAGAAACGGCGAAAAGCATAAACGACACACGATTCCACCAGCCGCATTTTCGTCAATCAGGTTTCCTGGTCAGCCTGTTTTTGTTTCTTGCCCGAGAACAGTTCTACACCCTCTTTCTCGCCATTGTGAATTCGGTTATAGTAAAGTCAAGATGGGAAAAGCACGGTTAACGGTGGTTAGATTAAGTCTAGGTATGGTTCAATCAGACAAATCGAAGGTAACTAGGTTTTCCATCAGTTCAGCACAGTTCAGTGTAGTGAGAAACAGGGTGTACTTGAAGGAAATGTGAGAACAATGTTTACCACCAAGCCCAATCTTCGTTCACCACCCCGAACCAACTTCAACGGAGGGGCAAATCACTCTGAGCAAGCGGCAGTTGCGCCTCACCGTCATGTGCGAAAATGGACGACCAACAGCACCAAACATGTTGCTGGTGGGGCCTCTATAACTTTCAGGGTCCGGTCAGGTGGTTTCTGCTCTGTCACATGGCATGGCAAAACCATAGCTGCAGCCAGATCGGCGTGGCTCGGAAGCCTCCCCTCTCTAGCGCTTGATATCCCAGGTTCACGACTCCGAGCCTGAAAGGACAAGCCACGGAACTCAACTCCCAAGACTCCGAACCTCGAACTCAAACTTTACTGTACACAAAACGCTGTCCCTTTCCCTGACCGCAAGCCAAACGAAACCCTCGTCCTGCCTGCCATGCCATGCCTCCCTGCTGCCTGACCTGTCTTCCTCCCCACCAGTCCCTCGATATCTTGGAGTCCCTCGCCATTCCAGTCAACCGCCAAAAGAGCAGTCTTCACTCAGGAGGAGCAGAGAACAAAGCGACTTTGACTTCCAAGTCACAGATGTTTGTTCTAGTGAGGAGACAGAGCAGCTTTCAGAAAGGACAGCAGTACCGTAGTTCCAGGATAAGCTACGTTAGAACAAGGCAATAATAGGGTTACGCATTCGCCATTTACGCGTTCAAAACGTAGCTCCGCTAACCACAACGCAGTGAAGTGCTGGTGTTTTGTAGATCAGTAGTGCTTTGTGTCTTGTCACGAGGAGCGGCATAGTTTCAAGACAGGCCTCCAGAGCACCATCAGCGTTGGTGTAATCTATTGTCTTTATTATTGACTTCAATACTCACCAGCTAGACGCGATGGTCACTCAAGACAGTCGAATGTTTCGGTGGCTGGTGTGTGCATTGGTGGTATCATTGACGCTGCTTCGAGTGGAGGGTCAAAGCACTAGCATGCAAGGCATGGACTACATGCTAGCGGCCTACGCAGGAGACAGTAAGTTTCCCGCTCTTCATGTTAACTCTTTTCTGCGCCATTCATGGCGCGAGGCTCTCGCGTTATGTAGCTGTTTCCATATCCACCGTGTCGATGTTCACAATCTCGTTTTTCTCCCGTACGAAGTACCTTTTGTAGTGTAGTTAGTTCAAAGCCAACCACAAATGGATTACCCGCTTAATTTTTTGTATGTTGGTGTAAGAGGGATACGAGTCTTCCCGTGATAGCGACGTCGTTCCCGGCTTGTGCGTGTAGCTGTGCGCTTCTATCACGAATGGTAAATTCCGACGTGAGTAGCTATCAGTGGATGAAGATGGTTGGCGCTCCCGTAAAGCTGTCCGTTTTACATCTCATCTCCGTTTAGCATCGCGGAAGCGGTTGGAAGCGCAGCAGCCGCTCAAAGCACTTGGTCCTCGCCCTATTATTCACTCTCTCCTCCTGAGACGCGCTTACTGCACGAGCCTGTCGCCTCGCTCATCTCGCCCTTCTACCGTTGTCATTTCCTCTGACGACCCACCTTCCCTCCTCCCCACCTCAATCAATCGCACCACTATTCCTCCACCCTCCCCATCCTCACTACCTCCTCTCACCCCCCCATCGCTTCCACCAGCCCCCCTTCTGCTGTTATGCTGGAAATGTTTTTTTTAGTCAACTCACAAATCTCTTATCCTGCTCCTCCCTACGTCTTCCTCCTCTCCCCTCGTCCACTCGCCCCGTCTCTCTCTTTCTCCCTCTCCCTCCGTCTGCCCCGGTTCCGCCAGACCCATTCCTGCTGGGATGGCAGGAGACCTCCTTCACCAACTTCCCCGCGCCCTTTTGGAACGTCGCCGTCGGCCGGCCGTGCCCAGGCAACACCTCCGACCTGCCGTACGCGGGCGTCTCCTGCAACGACCAGGGCTACGTCATCTCCGTGTACGTGCTTCGTCGTTCTCGTCGTCGCCAATTCCCCATCTCGTTGACTCGTCGAACGACTTGTCGTCTCGTCGTCTCGTCGCCGTCTCGTACTCTCGTCGTCTCATCGCCTCGTCCGCTCGTCCTCTCATCGCCCTGTCGTCCCCGCCCGTTCCTCCTCTTTTCCCCTCTCCTCTCTCCTCGTCGGCCCTTTCTTCTTCCTAACACCCCCCTAATCCACTCCACCTCTCGCGACCCCTCCCGACCCCTTCCGACCCCTCCTTTCCGCAGGGATCTGAGCTACCCGTCGTTCCCGGCGGGCGTGCCCAAGCTGCAGGGTGGCTTGGACTGGAACATCTCGGGAGTGCTCTTTCTCGAGCGCCTGTAAGTGCCTCGTCCGCTCTGCCCTACAGTATTTTGCTTCCCAGCCCTTCGCTTTCCAGCCCTTCGCTTTCCAGCCCTTCGCTTGCCAGCCCTTCGCTTGCCAGCCATTCGCTTGCCAGCCCTTCGTTTCCCAGCCTTTGGCCACAGATATTCTCAATCCGCTGCTGCAGTTTCCGCTTTGCCTCCCCCTTCCATGGTTGCGGGATTCGGAATGTTCCGCTCTCTAGGCGCCGTCTCGCCAATCTTCTCATATTTCCTTTCTGTTCCCCCGTGCCTCTTCCCTTGCCACGTTTGATTTTCTGCGTTGATTGCCGCCTCTTTCGAAACTGTCGGAATCGCGACCTGAACTCTCTCCAATGCGCGTGGATTGCTGCCGACTCTCGTTCAACCCCGTTCAAACCCCGTCTGGATTGCTGCTCGCTCTCAGCGACGTCTCTTACAACCTTCTTGAGGGCCCTCTGGTGAGTAACACCGCCTCCTCACCCCCTTCTGACCCTCATAACTTGGCCGTTACGGACAGCTCCACGTGCCGTTACGGACAGCTCCACGTGCTGTTACGGACAGCTCCACGTGGCGTTACGGATAGTTGACCATTAGGTGTCGAGCTCGCCATCTTCTGAGTCACGCACGTCTCTTGTGTACGCCGTCTCTTGTTTGCGCCTTCTCTTTTCGTATGTTACGGGTAGGTTTTTTGAGAATTCTCAAAAAACACGCTCTGTTTGTGCCTTCTCTTGTTTGCGCCTTCTCTTGTTTGCGCCTTCTCTTGTTTGCGCCGTCTCTTGTTTGCGCCTTCTCTTTTCGTATGTTACGGGTAGCCGCCGCAGCCGGGGCGGGCAGCGAGCTTCCAGTCGCTCAACCTACCCAGAATGCAATGAGCTGGTCGTCACGCGTCTTTGAGTCTAACAAACCTCGTCACTCACACATGTCAATGTCTCTTCTCCTCCCGCCCGTGTCTCTTTCCCGTGTCTTTTCCCCTGTCTCCTTTCCCGTGTCTCCTTTCCCGTGTCTCTTTCCCGTGTCTCCTTTCCCGTGTCTCTTTCCCCCTTGGTCATTTGTATGTGCAGCCGCCGCAGCTGGGGCTGGCACCGAGTCTCAAGTCGCTGAACCTGGAGGGCAATCAGCTGAACGGCACGCTCGACGACATGCTCTGCTACCTCGACAAGCTCGAGTGCCTGTAAGCCCGGTTTCCCTCTTGACTTTTGAAGCCCCCTCAAAAGTCGTCTCATTACCCGCAATGCTCTGCTTCCTCGACAAGCTCGAGTGCCTGTAAGCCCGAGTGCTCTCTGCTCTCATCGTGTGTTATGAGTCGACTCAAAAGTCGCCTGGATGGTCATCAGCTGAACGGCACGCTCGACGACATGCTCTGCTACCTCGACAAGCTCGAGTGCCTGTAAGCCCGGTTTCCCTCTTTACTTTTGAAGCCCCTCAAAAGTCGTCTCATTACCCGCAATGCTCTGCTAAGCTCGAGTGCGTGTACGCCCAATCTCTCTCCTTCCCCTCTCCGCCCGTTGCTCCCGCCTCTCATTCCCACAACCCCCCCACCCCACTCTCGTTCCCCCGTTTCCACCCCACCCCAACATCCCCCCCCCCCCCTTTCCCCCCTATTTTCCCAGCCCAACCCACCCACCCAACACTTCCTCCTTTTCCTCACCCATTCACCCTCCCTCGGCTCTTGATGTTTCGTTGTCTCCTCTTTCGTTGTCTCTTTCACCTATTCCACCCTCCTGTTGTCCGCATCGTCTCTCTCTCGTTCTTGTGCTCATTCATTCTCCTAACGTCGCCCCGTCCTGCCGTCGTTCCGTCCCTCGCATCGCAGCCATCTCGCCAACAACAACTTCAGCGGAAACCTGCCCTGGTGCTTCAAGCGGTTCCCCTGCCCCGAGTAAGTGTTTTGCACTGCACTTCACCGCACCGCATTGAACCGCACCGTGCCATGCACGCACTTCCTCCCCTCCCATCCCCCCCAATCCGTGCTTTCCCTTTACCCAATGTCTATCTCCCCATGCCTTCTTCGTTGCCCCGAGTAAGTGTTTTGCACTGCACTTCACCGCACCGCATTGAACCGCACCGTGCCATGCACGCACTTCCTCCCCTCCCATCCCCCCCAATCCGTGCTTTCCCTTTACCCAATGTCTATCTCCCCATGCCTTCTTCGTTGCCCCTCTCCTCTTCCCGCTCTCCGCCCTCCCCTCTCCCCGCCACGTCCCCACCCGCTCAATCTTTCCGCGTTTTGCATGAGTTTCAATTTTCTTCACTATTCTTTTCTACGTGTCTGGTTCCCTTCGCACGTGTCTGGTTCCCTTCGCACGTGCCTGGTTCCCTTCGCACGTGTCCGGGTTCCCCGCTGTGCTTCTCACCGCTTTCCCCCCCCCCCGTCCCCCACCACCTCCCCACCCCCACCCGCTGTTCTTCTCCCCGTTCCCTCTCCTCCCTCCCCCTTCCTCCCCCTCTCCCCCTTCTGTGCTTCTCCCCCCCTTCCTCCCCCTCTCCCCCTTTTGTGCTTCTCCCCCCCTTCCTCCCCCTCTCCCCCTTTTGTGCTTCTCCCCCCCTTCCTCCCCCTCTCCCCCTTTTGTGCTTCTCCCCCCCTTCCTCCCCCTCTCCCCCTTTGGTGCTTCTCCCCCCCTTCCTCCCCCTCTCCCCCTTTGGTGCTTCTCCCCCCCTTCCTCCCCCTCTCCCCCTTTTGTGCTTCTCCCCCCCTTCCTCCCCCTCTCCCCCTTTTGTGCTTCTCCCCCCCTTCCTCCCCCTCTCCCCCTTCCTCCCCCTCTCCCCTTTTGTGCTTCTCCCCCCCTTCCCCCTCCCTCGTGTTTTCTCCCTCCCCTTGCGCAGCTTCGCGGGCAACCCATACCTGAACACCACCGGATGCTTGAATGGTAAGGCACCATGTACATACATGCACATGCACATACACATACAGGAAACTCACATGTACATGTACATATACATGCACATGCACATACAGGACACTCACATATACATGGCTGGGACACTCAAATGTACATCCACATGCAAATGCGTGTGATACCCCCCCCGCCCTCTCCTCACCTCCCCACTCTTTTGTTTTCATCTCCCTCTCGTTCTTCGTTCTCTTTACTCGTTCTCTCCCATCCCCTCCCCTTGGTTCTTCAGGCTTCATCATCCTTTAACTCAAAAAGCCATCTATCCCCTCCCCTCCCCTCCCGTCCCTTCCCCCGCCCCTCCCCCGCCCCTCCCCTCCCCTCCCCTCCCCTCCCATCCCCTCCCCTCCCCCCCCCTCCCCCCGCCCCTCCTTCCCTCTCCTCTCCCCCAGTGACGTACAAGAGCTGTCCCAACAGCTACACGGCGGTCGCCGCGCCGCCGCCGCCGCCGGCCACGGGGCTGGGCGTGGGAGCCGTGATCGGAATCGTCTTTGGCGCGCTCGCGCTCTTCGCGCTGGGCGTGGCGCTCTACTTCTACGTCCCGTCCTCTCATCATCTCGTTATTGTCTCCGTCCCGTCCTCTTCCCCTCCCCCTCTCTCTCCCCTCCGTTTCCCCCTCTTTCCCCTCTCCTCTCCCACCCCCCCCCCCCCCTCCCGTTCGCCACTCTTCCCCTCTCCCCTCCCCCAGTGAAGGACAAGAGCTGTCCCAACATCTACACGCCGGACGCAACTCCACCACCCCCGGGGGCCACGGGGCTGGGCGTGGGAGCCGTGATCGGAATCGTCTTTGGCGCGCTCGCGCTGTTCGCGCTGTGCGTGGCGCTCTTCTTCTACGTGCGCTTCAAGCAGGAGGAGAAACGCAAGCGCGAGGAGGCAGAGAGGCTGGCGCAGGACATTGAGAGTGAGTTGGGGGCACTGGGAGTGGCATATGGTGCTGCTGCTGCTGGCTGTACTGGCTGCTCTGCTGGCGCGCTCGCGTTCTTCGCGCTGTGCGTGGCGCTCTACTTCTACGTCTCCTTCTGCTGGTGGCTCTGCCGGTGGCTCTGCTGGCTCCACCCCATGCAGCCCAAATCTCGACCTGTCGTGTTGGCACGCTGAGGCGGTTCTCAGTGGACGAGCTCTCAGTGGACGAGCTCTCAGTGGACGAGCTCTCAGTGGACGAGCTCTCAAAGGCCACCAACGGGTCTCATGCCAACCCCTGCCCCCTTGCTCGACTGCCGTACGAACCCCCTTGTCTTCCCTGTTACAGCCCAAATCTCCACCCGTCACTTCGGCACTCTGAGGCGATTCCCAGTGGACGAGCTGTCCAAGGCCACCAACAGGTCTCAACTCCCGTGCTTTTCCTTCCTGCCCTCTCCCCCCTCCCTTCCTCTGCAGCCCAAATCTCCACCCGTCACTTCGGCACTCTGAGGCGGTTCTCAGTGGACGAGCTGTCCAAGGCCACCAACGGGTTTGATGATGACAACATGCTAGGCGAGGGCGGGTTCAGCAAGGTGTACAAGGGCAAGCTGGAGGACGGCAAGTTCGTTGCTGTCAAGAGGATCAAGGTGCGGAAGAGTGGGAGGCGGTGGGGAGTGTTGATGTGCAGTAGCGTGAGGTGATGTGGGGTGAAGTGGCAGGTCTGTGGGGTTGACGCGTTGGGCGAGGGGGGGCTCTGCGGGTTTCCCTGTATGACTCGAAGAAAGAGTCGGGTGTCGCCTCTGGGAAGTACAAGCTCTTAGTTCGTTCAGAGGTGGAGCTGTCAGAGGTGGAGCTGTCAGAGGTGGAGCTGTCAGAGGTGGAGCTGATCAGCCGAGCCGTGCACTGCAACCCTCTCGTTCTCCTTGCCTTGTTGCCTCTTGTCTGCCACTCGCAAGAGGAGAAGAAGTCGGGTGGAGAGCTCATGTTCCTGTCGGAGGTGGAGCTGATCAGCCGAGCCGTGCGCCGCAACGTCATGCACTCAGAGGGCTTCCCCTCTTGCTCACCACCTCTTCGTTCCTCTCTGTCCTACCACCTCACGCCCACTCACCCTTGTGTTCTCACAGGAGGAGAAGAAGTCGGGTGGAGAGCTCATGTTCCTGTCGGAGGTGGAGCTGATCAGCCGAGCCGTGCATCGTAACGTCATGCACTCAGAGGGCTTCTGTGTGGAGAAGGGCGAGTGCATGCTCGTGCTGCCTTTCTATGCTAATGGCTCCGTGGCCTCCCGCACTCAAGGTGGGATACGGTCCAGTGCGGTGTAGCTGATGAATACAAGCCCTTCAACGATGGAGCGGAGTGGAGGGCATGGCATGCGTACGCATGGATTGCAACCTGCCTTGTCTTTTATAGTTTTTTCACAACTCTTTGAGATAAACCATAAAAACAATCTGAAGCCCATTCACCTCCTTTTCCCTGCCTGTCCGCCCGCATTTACCCCCAACCCCACCAAAACTCTCTGCCAGGCAAGGAGGGTAACCCCATGGACTGGCACACACGCATGAAGGTGGCCCGCGGCGCAGCAGAGGGCATCGCATACATGCACACCGACTGCAACCCGAAGCTCATTCATCGCGACATCAAGGCCGCAAACGTGCTTCTCGACGAGAACGATGAAGCAGTCATTGCTGATTTCGGGCTGGCCAAGGAGATGGACGTGCATGAGAGCCACGCGTCCACTGCTGTGAAGGGCACCATCGGGCATATCGCCCCAGAGTACTTTGTGAGCGGGCAGTGCTCGGAGAAGACGGACGTGTACGCGTTTGGAGTGTTCCTCCTGGAGCTCGTGTCGGGCAAGGACGTGTTTGAGCTCACTCTGCCGCCCGAAGCGGAGGAGCTGCTGCTCAGGGACTGGGTGAGTTGCTCTTAGGCTTCTTCCCCTTGGCTTGCCATCTCGTCCTTCTGGTCCAGTCCCTAGCCCGCACTTCTGCTCGGGATGAGACAATTGGTCAGGTGCCTCGATGCACATCTCCAGCCTGCCCTTGCGCTGTGTCCCTTCCTTGGCGCCTCCACCCACCGTCCGTGCCTTCCCATCTGCTCAACCTTTGTCCACTTGGCTCATTCTTTGACCTCCCTATTCCTTCCTTCTCTGTCCTTTTCTAACCCTCTCCAGGTGGCCAACATGCTCCGTGACGGCAAGATCCCTGAGTTTGTGGACAACGACCTGACGCGATTGGGCTACGACGAGGCTGACGTGGCAAAGATGCTCCAGGTGGCACTGCTCTGCATGAAGCACGATGCGGTGGATCGGCCAACCATGGATGAGGTGGCAAAGATGCTCTCTGGAAAGGCCCTGGCGGACAAGTGGGAGAAGTGGCAGGAGGAGGCGGCGAAAATGTCTGGCGAGGATGTTATGGCGGTGGTTAACACGCCTGCTATCTGGGAGAACACCACCACGGGTATCTCGCTCGATGCTTTCAACCTGTCCGGGCCGCGTTAGTGTTTGGTGTGGTGGGGGCTGTTGTGTTGGTGGGGTTGGGCGGACTGGGGGAGGGTGCTTTGTGGGATGTTGTGGCTGGTTGTGTGGGAAATGTTGCAAGTTTTGTGTCATGTCACTTGCAGTGTTCGGTGGATTCCGGTTGCTATATTATGCAGGGAAGCTGCATGGTCTAGAAGGTTGCTTCTCCTTTTTCTTGAACATGGGAGCTGCTTGCAGTGGCTCCAGATTGCATATGTATTGTGTAATTGTTGACCTGGTACAGTGGGTGTGATAACATCAGTTGAACAGTAGGATATTATGTAATTATTGTGTCTATTTCTATCCTGTTGCACAAATAATATACCTATTGCATTGGAAGGTGCGTGGTTGCACTTGATGAACCCTAAACCCCGAACCCGAAACCTTCAGCCCTAAATTGTTCATCGAAGAACTACACCTTCAAGCAGGTTTCCCCCAAAAGGGACCGAGCCGCACCAGTTGCAGCCACACTCCAGGACCAGCCACCTGACAGACAAGCGAAATTACCAATCACCGTAGGATTCGGTGTCAGAAGGCATTACAGGCGTCGGATAAGCCTCTCACCACACTTTCTGGTGCCAGCCGATCCCTGCAACAAATCGCAGGCAGGCACGGGCCTTCAAAATTCCACTCGACAACAGGCAGACGGGGTCTGGGATGGGAATTCCACTGAACAAGCAGACACGGGCCTTGGGAATTCGGCCATTTTCAGGTGCATGCCGTTTATTCGAGACAAGCTCTTCAGGTGCATGCCAGGTTGCTTACACGTTTCTCAGGTTAAACTATGTCTCTCGTAATCAAACGAGCTGTTCAGGATTCGATTAAATTTGGCACAAAAGGTCTGAAATAAATGAAATTTCGGGCTGCGCAAATCGGGATCGGAATGGTTGGTTCTCGATGCTTCATTTTCTGACGTCACTCAGTGCAATGATTGCATTTCTGCCCAATTTCTACGCAATTGTTTGCTTTGCACCAACTCTTTTCGAACGAATATAATGCTAGATCTGTTGTACTGTTGACGCAGATGACGGACGCTGCGCATGGCAAATCAGCAAACCGCTCGTGAGTGTTTGTAAATTATTGCCTCTACCAAAAATGTTTTGCCGTACATATATATTGGAAAAGGTGGTGTGCCATGGCGTTAATTACGTGTCATTGAATATACATGTAACGTACGATATATCCTTAATATCCGTAGGGGTTACTTCTTCTAGCACTCGGGCATATTTCTCGTGTTTCGGATTACCCTTTCCAAAGAATGCACGTCCCGCTCGGGTTTGCTGGTTTGACCAGCGAAGCGTCCGCAACCTGCGGCAAGAGTACAACGATTTACCATTACAATTCGTTCAAAATGAGCTGGTGCAAAGCAAAAATTTGCGTAGAAATTGGGCATAAATGCAATCATTGCACTGAGTGACGTCAGAAAATGAAGCATCGAGAGCCAACCATTCCGATCCCGATTTGCGTAGCCCGAAATTTCATCTATTTCAGACCTTTTGTGCCAAATTTAATCGAATCCTGAACAACATGTGAAATTACGAGACATAATTTAACCTGAGAAATGTGTACGCAGCTTGGCATGCACCTGAATAACGTGCCTCGACTAAGCGGCATGCACCTGAAAATGGCCGTTGGGAATTCCACTCTCCCTGTAGTCAATTTTGACCCCTTGCAGAATCAGAGGTGGGGTGATTTTTAGAAAGAAGGTTGCTGGAAAGAATCGCATGACGCACTCTATAAGTAGCCGATACCCTCGAAGCCCATCCTCCTATTAGTACCCCATCCGTTCCTCTTGCATGCATTCATAGGAGGCTTAGGAAGCATCCATTACTCTGCCAGAAGTAGTATTTATGTAAGCGAGGTACTAATACAGCCACGCCGGTGCAGCCTTGACGAGAGACTTAGCGACCGCAATTCAAAACCTTCTACTGCACAAAATGAGTCACACGAGTTTCAATCCACGTTATAGAACGTCGCGGATCTCCACGCCGACGCTCGTTGTCTCAGACAAGCTGTCCCGACTAGGCCTCACGCTTCTCCTCTTCGCCCTGCTCGCCAGCTTTTCGCCGCAGTCGCTTGCGACGACTCTTTCGTCGCGACTCCGAGGCATCTCTAATGGCATTGTTTCGTCTTTAAACGACCTCGCCGTCTCCAAGCCTCGTCAATGGTCTTTTGTTCCACGGTTACGGTTCAATCTCCATTCGTCTCCTTCCGTGGAACAGGGCACTGTGGTCACTCGCTCACGAAGAATGAGGGTCCTTCAGTCCCTAGACAAGGAGAAACGGTCTGCGATTAAGATGGATGTTACAGGTTTCGCCACGGGAAACGGTTCGGGAGTTCCAAACGACGTGATCGAGTCTTGGGAACCGCAGGCGGATCGATACTTGCTTGCTCTGTGCTTCTACGGGCGTTTGTCCAATCAGGTGCGATACATGTTGTTGGGAGCGATGTCGTTCCCACGTCACAGCAGCACACCTTGTCGCACCGCTGCCACATGCCACTGACTCCTACTGTGAACTCACCACGTCACGCGGGCCACGTCAGGACATTCTCGTGACAATATATTCCCGAAAAAGGATGTGCAGGAGGGTCGCACCACTGTCAGTCATGCCAGTCCTGAGGTCGATTTCTTGCTTTCTCACTCGCCTATGTGATTGTCTTCAGGTTCCGAGCCCGTCAACTGTCTGACTGACTGAATTTCCCACTGATTCCCGACTCATTTGATTTTCCGTCCCTCGTTGCTCTCTTCGCGCCATGTATCCTTTCAGGAGGAATGTATGCGAAGTTACTTAGTCTTCGCGGCGCTTCTGAACCGCACGCTTTTGGTTCCGGATCCAGGATTCGCGCATCACCACCAGACGTGGTACAAATGGCGGTGGAGCCTGATATTCGACATCCCGCACCTCCAGACGTGCCTGGCGGACGCGTACGGGAACAACACCGTGCTTACAGTGGAGGAGCTTGTATCGAGGACGAAGCAAAATGTGACTGTAGACCACATTGCTTGTGTAAACGGGAGGTCCTGCATGGATAATACTCAACTGGTGAGTACACCCATATTTCTGTTGCCTCAAACAAATGCACCTATTGCCTCTCTCACACTCACTCCATGTCCCCCGTCTCCCGCATATGCCACCAGTCCTTCGCCCAGCTTCCCAACGTCGCATTGCCTGACAAACTAGAGCACCCTTTGGAGTCCCTTCCCCCTGGGGGCCTCGCCGAGTTGCTTTCTGCCTGTGCTCCCTTCGCCAACGCTCGCGTGCTCAGCCTTGGGAACATCTACGGCTTCTCGTTGTACGGCAGGGCCGGGCAGATGCTGCATGCAACCAAGCCTCCATTCCAAACCTCGTGCCTGGACCTCTGGGAGCCGCCTCCAGTGGTTCGGAGGTTTGTTTCGGGGTTTGTTGATACTTTCCTGGGAGATGACTATGCGGCTGTGCATATGAGGAGAGGGGATTTTTCGCATGCTTATTTGAGGAATGAGGAGAAGGGAAAGCAGCAGAGCAGAGACCCGGCTTTTCTGCCGATCGCGTCTATTGCACGCTACATTGTGTCGCGTTTCAGCGGCCGTGGCATCAGTATTCTGTACCTAGCCACTGATGCAAGCCTGACCGAAGTGCAATTCCTGGAGAAGCTGCTACTGGGTGAGTGCTTACAGGGATTGATGGTGCAATAGATTTTTGTTTTCTTGACGTTCTTGGATCATGATTCGCATCGACGCTGTTCATTCATTGTTGCATGGCGGTGACACCTCTATGCCTGTTTCTATGCAGAGTTGGACTCGAAGGCTCCCTTTGTTGTTGAGCGCCTTCCTGAATTCACTAAGGGCTCGTTGGAGTACGACGAGTATGACTGGGTGCGTGATTTCGAAAACTTGGATGAGGAAGACCAAGGTATCCTCAGGGCTCTCGCCGAGAAGCACATATGTGCAAGAGCGCAATACTTCATTGGTACACCCAAGTCCACCTTCTCAACTGATATACTCAGAATAAGAGAGGTATACGGGCGTTCATCAGAAGTAGACTCTTATTTCGGGGATGCTACATGACATTTATTGTAGTTGGCAAGAGCACAAGCAACTGCCATGTGAGCAGTCTACATAGGTACCTATGCAAAGGAAGCCTTGCTTCATAGGTATACAACAATGTACAGAACAGTACAGGCAAGCATGAACTCCCCACTATGCAATATTACAGTAGTTTGTCAACCCTTGCGCGAAGGGAGGTCCCAAGATCGCTACACCAAGAGCAGCACAGACCTGCAAACTGTGACAATGACAGCAGCAATGGATGTAACCAAAGTAACATGGTAGGGCACAGCAAACCTTGCAGTCCCTGCAAGCACACTTCAGCACATGCGACCATCCACCCATTGCAGATATCTTAGGGCAGCCTGATAGTGCGTGTACGCCCCAGCAATAACAAGAACATGGAAAATCTGATGGCTGTGTCCCGCTATGTCAAACTTCCCAGGCAGCCATCGCTCGGGAATCCTGGTGGCATAAAAGAGAGCTCCAATGCCGTACAACGCCCCCATAAGCAGCTCATACAGAAGAGTTGTCACCAAAAACGGCTCATGGTGGTAGAGCAGCATGCCATGGAAAAATGGAACCACACCAGAGACTCCCAGTCCAAAGAACAGCCCTGCACGAAAGGCTCGGTACTTAGGTTGTTGAAAGGCAGGGAGAAGAGAGGCAGCTACAGTTCCCAAACCACCGAGGGTGATCAGGACGAGGTAGGTGAGCCGGGCGTATGGGTGGCAGAGGAAGCCGTAGTAGACTGGCGGGTAGAAGGATGCGCAGATGAGGATGGCAATTCCCGCATAGTCAAACCGCCAAATGATCTGGGAGACCTTCTTGGAATGGCAGCCCAGGAGGTGGCAGGTGCTGCTGGAGAGCAGGCAGATCATGGCGCCGGTTAGGAAGACGAAGAACGGCCACATGGCAATCTTGCGCTCAGTTTTGATTGATCTTAGCAAAAACGAAGGGCTGTCCGAAAGTGACTGCAGAAGTGTTTACGGGATTACAGGAAGGGAGAGTGGAAGAGTGAGTGTGTGCGGGGGGGGGGGGGAGGGGGGGGGGGGGGAATCCGGGAAGAAGAGGGAAGGGGGTGCCGGGACGGGGGTTGGGGTAGGCAGGGGATCAGTGGAAAATGTAAATGAGGGAGTTTGAAGCAGACGGAGTGACCAAGAGGCATGTTTGAGGCAGGTTTGGGACATGAAGGAAGCAGAACGGAGGAAAAGGATAGCAAACTGAAGGGGGCAGGCATGAACTTGGGCCGTAAGACAATTTCTTCCCAGAACCAGCTGGTAAGGACGGAAACGCACAAAAGCTAGCACGAATGAGACGTCGGTCACAGAGAGGTCACAAGGGAGTAGACACTTACGCAGTTTCCAAAGACGCTCTGATCGTTCCACAGCGGACTGGTGGGAAACGCCGGTGTGGATTCCAAGGCCGTGCTGGCGTAGCGATGGACACAGCCGTAGTACCACAGCAGAGCAGCCTGAACCTGCTGCAGCCTTGGGAGCTCCACGTGAGGAAGCATCGCCTGAAGCTTAGTGGTGTCCAGGTCTGGTAGCTTGGACTTCATGACTGCTGAGAGCATGGTCTGCATCTCGTGCATGTTAGGAACGTGCGGCATGGCCTCGTAAATGGAAGTCGAAATTCCCGAAATCCCAGATATTCCGGACATTCCTGAGAGCTCGACGTGTGGGAGGGAGTTGTACATGGCATTGAGATTCGGAAACTCCATGGAGGTAAGCGCGTCCCTGATGGGACGGAAATCCGGAAGTTCCATGTGCTGAAGATGTGCATGGATGCTGTCAGTGGCGTTGACCCATGATTCAGGAAAATGGAGGTGGGAGAGTGGGATTTCAACCACCTTCGGGAACTTCTGGGCCGTGTAGATGGTCAGGTTCAGGAATAGGATGAATCCTATAAGATGCCTGCAAGCAACCAGCCAGAGCTAGTTAGCACAAGATCTCCCTGAAACTCAGCACTCCGAAGTCGAGGATGAAAAGAAGGACACTATCACGCGCGAGATTCTCTACACTATTGTAGCACATGAGACACGAGAAACATAGCGACGGTCGGCTATGACTTACGTCCAGATATTTCCAGTCTCGTTATGAATATGAAAGATGCTCCATAGCGTGTGTTTGAGAGGCCAGTTTGCGCGGTAGTATCCATGAATGTACTCGTTGTCTCGAAGGTAGTCAGGAAGGGCACTAAAATCACACAGCTTATACCGCTTCTTGACACGATCCCACATGTTGCTGTGTGAGCAGCAACCCTCGTGATGGTGCGGGACACAAGATTCAGTAGCTTCTTCCATAGCTGTTACTAAACGTAAGCAAAACCTGACTCTGATAAACCTGAACGATGCCTCAGAGGCTCTCGTTGATATTTCTAGGTTGGCTCAGCCAGCGGGCTGTTGACTACGACCAACGCGTGATCTGCGCTAAACAACCCGAACGCGTTCGTTGCAGGCAACGATTCCAGCCTCGCGAGACCCTGTGGATGAAATCAATCAGCACAAGCAGCCATCGGGTTTATAAGAACGAAGTAATCAGCAGCGCAGCACCTCCGCCATGGCGCTATCTTGCGTCAGGAGGTAGAATCGAGGCCAAAGAGGAAAAAGCTGATCCCACCAAACCGCAGCTTCGTTGGAGCCTTGGTGACCGCAGCTTTTTACCCTGGGCTGGAACCTTGGTTTGGGGTAGATTGCGGGCAGGTAGGGAGGAAATGGGAGTGAACTGGCGGAAGGGCCTCCGCGCTGCTTGCATGGATGACACACACACACACAGCACAGTGGCAGCGCGAGGGTTGAGCGGAGAGCCAGTCTGCGCTGGGGGGCCTGCGCCTCCCTGGCAGGATGTTGCGTCGGCGACGGCAACTGATGAAGGGGGACAAGTCACGAGTGAAAACAAAATTTTGAAGGTGAAGGTCAATTGCACCAATAGACGCGGACATTGCTGTTGTCCCGGCTGACCGAAGGCGCATAATTGTGATGACGGGGCGGAAACTGCATTTTGACAACGGTTTGGTTCGGGTGTGGTTTGGAAGAAACAAAAGGGGCACACAGGTATGGGCGAGCAAGCAATCCCACCAAACTCGTGAAAAAGATCGCAGTCGTCAGCTGGTCACACAGTTCATATGCAGCCACTCACTGCATGTGCGACACCTTCGTTTCTACCTGATATCCGTTTGAGTCTCCCCTACTTGGGTTGTGCTTTGGGCTCATAAACCGTTTAAACGTTTCGGCCAGTTCGTTCTATTTCGCCAGGGTGTTGAGGTGCTTCTAAAAAACACAGGCTGTAACTCATTTGTTTTTTCCAAAACACTTCTGGTGGGCCTGTGTTGTTGTTAGTTCAGGGTTTCGGGTTTATGCTTGTTTCTGGCCAAGAAACAAGAACAAACCGGGTCAGCATGGTTTGTTTTTGCGCCTGGCGTTTTCTCGCCCAAATGCAAGCTGATCCGCGTGCCTATAATCTGGGTGCAACTGACTAAGAAAAAAACACGGGCGCAGAGTTTCTGAAATTAGAAAGACAAATTCGCGCGCAGTGGCTGGGCATCATGTGTACACCAGTGGCTAGCGCGACCCGGCTCGGGAGCGGAAATGCACTGCTGAGTCGGATGTCCGAGTTCGAGGAGCCGATAAAGGCCGTGGACTGGGGCGCAGTCCACGTCAGGTGCCAAAAATATCCCTGAAGAGATGTTTGGATTCAACCGTTTAGAAAACGTACAGAACCCCCTTAACTTCATCAGAGAAGATTAAAAATATTTGATATGATTAGCTAATCATCTCACACTTGCATTAAATACTCTTGAAAGCCTACTGCTTTGCAGACAAGGTGATACATACACAACAAAATGACCTGTCATAATAAAACTAAAATAATTAGCTCCCTCTGACACCCACTAGAAAAGGTGGAACTCTCAACGGGGCCCAGTAACATTGAAGGCTTCGAGCGAGATTCAGTTGTTGTGTTCTCCCAGAGCGAAGGGTTCTTGACAACAGCCATGAGGTCCTCTGCTCTCATGGCCCCAGCTTCAGCCTGAAAAACAATTTGATGCAGATAAACGGGAGTTCAGGAGCAGCAGAAAGAAATGCACTTAAAAATATGGAGAGGCGTGAGCCAAGCACCAAAGAAGCACGTTACATTCACCGTTTGAAGCATTGAGTGCATGCATGTGGCTGAATGCGAGTTACTATGCCCACGTACCTGCCACTGCTGCCACTTCTTTGCAAGCTCACTCCCAGCCACCATCTTAGCCACATCCTCCATCGTGGGCCGTTCAGCCAAGTCATTCCTCCCAATCCCTCGCACACCGCAAGCTCTTTCCACAACACACCTCCAACAGCCCTCACCCCACACCCCTCACCTGCCACTGCTGCCACTTCTCTGTGAGCTCACTCCCAGCCACCATCTTAGCCACGTCCTCCATCGTGGGTCGCTCAGCCGGGTCGTTCTTGAGGCACAGCAGCGCCACCTGGAGCATCTTCTCCACCTGACCCATGTCCACTGCCCCCTCGGCTTTCTTCACCTCTGGGTCTACAAGCACATCTGCCTTCCCCTCCACCAGCAGCTGCGACACCTGCAGGAGGGAGGCCCAGGGGAGAGGTGTGTCATCAGCCTCGGATTTGGGAACGACGCCGAGGCGGTACATGTCCTTTGGTGTGACTTTTGAGAACTCTCAAAAGTCACACCAATAGAGGCGGTACATGTCCTTTGCGAAGGACTCACCAACCTTTGCCGACACGAGGGTCGAGCAGGAAGAGAGAGAGCGGAGCACACCACACGATCACAGGAATAGGGGGTTAAACCGGTGATGAACCCACTCACCCAGTCTACTCAGAAGAATCTCCTCTGCCTCGGGAACGGCCCAGAGGCCGTACATGTCCTTGCCCGACACGAGGTCGAGCAGGGAGAGGGAGAGACGAGAACACCCATGACAGGAAGAAGGGCTTAGGCTGACTCACCCACTCTCTGAGAAGAATCACTTCAGCCTCAGGCACAACCGTGAGCCCGTCCGTACACGCCCTTGCCCGACACGAGGAGGGGGGGGGAGTCGAGCATACCATGACAGCACAGCAGGGGGATTACACCGAGCTCAACCCACTCACCCAATCCCTGAGAAGAATCTCTTCAGCTTCGGGCACGACAGTTAGTCCGTACACGTCCTTGCCCAGGGAGGGGGAGAGCTGAGCACACCCATCACAGCAGAAGGGGGCTTACTCCGTGCGAACGCCACTCACCCAGTCCCTGAGAAGAATCTCCTCTGCCTCAGGCACGACAGCGAGCCCAGCCCATACACGTCCTTGCCCGACACGAGCTCCAGCAGGAAGAGAGACGGGAGGAGAGTGAAGCACACCCATCACAGCACACCAAGCCCAACCCACTCACCCAGTCCCTCAGTAGAATCTCCTCAGCCTCGGGCACGACAGTCAATCCGTACACGTCCTTGCCTGATACGAGCTCCAGGAGGAACACCCCAAAGGCATACACGTCCGTCTTCTCTGAGCACTGCCCGCTCACAAAGTACTCTGGGAGGGGAAGGAGGTGGGGAGAGGTGGCGAGGGGAGAGAACATTGGGCTGAGGAGAGAATAACCGAACCGAGCACTGCCTACTCACACGAGCTCCAGCAGGAACACCCCGAACGCATACACGTCCGTCTTCTCTGAGCACTGCCCGCTCACAAAGTACTCTGGGGGATGGTTAGGGAGGAGGGCGGGTGAGGGAGGGTAGAAGCAGAGGAGGCATTAGCACTGGGGAGGAGACGTTTATTTAGAGCTAATACATCCTCTGCTCACTAAGTACTCTGGTAGAAAGGAGGGGGTGTACCTGCACAGTTCAAGCTGCAGGGTAACTGCTTCTAGCACGCACCAGGGGCAATGTGGGCAATGGTGCCCTTGACTGCAGTGGTGGCATGCGCTTCATTCCCGGATCCACTAATATCGCCTCGACCATCTCCTTGGCAGGCGTCACAGGGATTCAGGTGTGTTTTGAGTCGACTCAAAACACACCAGGACTGTGAAGGGAGACCCCTCAAAGGTGTGTTTTTGAGTCCCTGTCACTCAAAACACACTTGGCAGGCGTCACAGGGATTCATTCAGTACCCGTCTTGAGTTTTGAGGAGCCTCAAAAGTGAGTTACACCTCAAAGAACACCTATACCCGTTCCACACACACCTAGACTCATCCAAAACACGCTATACCCTCTCGTAGTACGCACCAGGGGCGATGTGTCCGATGGTGCCCTTGACAGCATGTGGCATGCGTCTCATTCACGTCCATCTCCTTGGCCAGCCCAAAATCCGCAATCACTGCATTCGTCGTTCTCATCCAGCAGCACATTGGGCCGCCTGGTGAGGATGGGCAGGAGATGAGCAGGGGATGAGCAGGGGATAAGCAGGGGATGAGCAGGGGATAGCAGGGGATGAGCATGGGATGAGCAGGGGATGAGCAGGGGATGAGCAGGGGATGAGCAGGAGATGAGCAGGGGCAGAACAGATTTTTGAGTCGACTCAAAAAATCGACTCAACTCACGAAGATGAACAGGGGATGAGCAGGGGCAGAACAGGGATGAGCAGGGGCAGAACAGGGGATGAACGAAGGGTCAGAAACAGTGGATGAGCAGGGGCAGAACAGGGGATGGAGCAGGGGCAGAACGTGGATGAGCATGGCTAGAACAGCAGATGCATGCGTTTCATTCACGTCCATCTCCTTGGCCTTGCAGTCCGTGTCCAGAGATGCCACCCCCTCCATTTCCCCATGCACATGCCACATGGCCACATGCTACATGCTACATGCCACATGCTACATGCTACATGCTACATGCTACATGCCACATGCTACATGCCACATGCTACATTGCTTCATGCTACATGCCACATGCTACATGCTACATGCCACATGCCACATGTCAAAAGGCCATAAGGTATAATTCATGCACGTGCAGCAGCATCACCTTGGAGTCCGTGTGCAGATACGCTATCCCTCTACTCCCCCATGCCACATGCCACATGCTTCACAAGGCCATACCCACCCCATAACCCATGTGCCCCCATAAGTCATGTTGTGTACCTTGATATCGCGGTGCGCCAGCTTCAACTTGCAATCTGTGCGCAAAGATGCCAGCCTCTCTGATGCCAGCCTCTCTGCTGCACCCTGTGCCACGCCACGTGCCTCACGAAGCCACACAACACATTATTATTGAGTCGACTAAAAATCGACTCAACTTGTGCGCAAAGATGCCAGCCTCTCTGCTGCACCCTGTGCCACCGTGCCTCACGAGGCCATACAGCAACACTACCCTGCTTTGTGAGGGTACACCCCCGCTTTAACACCCACCTTTGATATCGCGGTGCACCAGCTTTGGTTTGCACTCGTGTGCCAATACGCCACCCCTTACGTTGCTCCCCCATGCCACATGCCACATGCCACATGCCACATGCCTCACAAGACCTATACCCTAAAAAACCCATGCACCCCCATAATCATGTACCTTGATATCGCGGTGCACAGCTTTGCTTGCAGTGCCGTGTGCAGATAGCCTATCCCTATCCGCTGCTACACCGGGCCACCTTCATGCGCCTGTCGGCCAGCTCCATGGGGTTACCCCTCCTTGCTGGAGAGCATGAAACGGAGAGCAAGAAAACAAGGACATGTGAGAAACCCGGGAGGAGGGCTGGGATGGAATGGGGTGGGGTTGGGTTGGGTGACGCTACCCTCGCCGCTGCTCCTCATACCACCTTCACTAGCATGAGCCAGTCAGTCCGTTGTGAGTGAGGTAGGGCAGTGGCCCACGCCCCCAGGCCAGCTGTGGCTCTCTCGCACCCTCAGCGCGGGATGCAAAGCAATGAACCCAACCTTACCCAACTGCACCTCACTCAACCTGAGTGCAGGACGCCACAGATCCGTTAGAGCAGAAGGGCAGCACCAGCATGCACTCGCCTCGCTCCACACAGAAGCTCCCTCTCCATCCAAAACGCCCGCCCACCCAGCTGCACCGCACTAGACCCAATCCAGCCGCATCTCACCCTGCGTGCGGGACGCCACAGATCCGTTGGAGCAAAAGGGCAGCACCAGCATGCACTCGCCGCGCTCCACACAGAAGCCCTCGGCACGGATGAGATTGCGGTGCACGGCCCGGCTGATCATCTCCACCTCAGACAGGAACTGCAGCTCGCCACCCGCGCGTTTCTCATCCTGTAGGGAGAGCATAGAGCAGTAAGGAGAGGAAGGGGCTGGTCGGTTGAAAGCCCTCGGCACGGATGAGATTGCGGTGGATTGCTCGGCTGATCATCTCCACCTCAGACAGGAACTGCAGCTCGCCACCTGCCCTCTTCTCATCCTGCAGGGAGGGAGAGCGTGGAGCAGCAAGGAGAGGAAGGAGTTGTTCAGTCGAAAGCTCTCCGCTCGGATGAGGTTGCGGTGAACAGCCCGGCTGATCAGCTTGCTGAAGCCCCCTCGCCCAGCACATAGTCCTCATCAAACCCGTTGGTGGCACTTTTCAGCTCCCCACATTCATCACCCCATGTCACCCCACATCACCGTTCCCCACCTCATTCACTCACCTTAATCCTCTTGATAGCCACGAACTTGCCGTCCTCCAGCTTGCCCTTGTACACCTTGCTGAACCCGCCCTCGCCCAGCACATAGTCCTCGTCAAACCCGTTGGTGGCCTTCTTCAGCTCCTCTGAGGTGAAGCGCCTCAGGGTTCCGAAGTGGCGAGATGAGATCTGGGCTGAAACAGGGACGCAAACAAGAGAGGGGGGATGATAGATGGATGGGCTTGGGAAAGCTAAAAGAGGGGAGGAGAGGGATCATCAAGGGCGTTGGTGGTCTTCTAAAGCTTCTCTGAGGTGAACCTCCTTAGAGTGCCCAAGTGACAGGATGAGATCTGGGCTGTTGGGAACAGTGGGAGAGAGGAGGGAGAGAGAGAATGGGGGAAGAGGGGAGACGCGATGAGGGGAGCTGGCCTAGTGCATCTGACCCGCCCCCTCCCACTCGCCCAGCACATAGTCCTCGTCAAACCTGTTGGTGGCCTTCTTGAGCTCCGCTGAGGTGAACTTCTTTTGAGTTCCAAAGTGGCGAGACGAAATTTGGGCTGTTGGGAACAGGATGGGGGAGAGCGAAGGAGAGAGAGAGGAAGAGAGTGAGGGCAATGGGTAGGATGGAGGGACTTTGGATGGTCAGACCCGTTGGTTGCCTTTGTCAGCTCCCTGGGGAGAATGGATGATCAGATCAGACCCGTCTCAGAGTTTTTGAGTGGATGAACGCAGCGCAGCACCCCTTTGTTCAATTCAGCTCAAGGGGCTAGGTAAGCAGGTAGCATGCTTGTGATTTTACTTTTGAGAATTCTCAAAAGTAAAATTTATTTACATAGCTAGGTAAGCAGGCAGTATGCTTGTGATTTTACTTTTGAGATTTTGAGTATTCCAACCTAAACCACTGCTTGCAATCAAACACCCCTTTCCCCCATCATCACTCACTCTCCAAATCCTGCTCCAGGCGCCTCTCCTCTTCCTCCCTGCGCTTCCTCTCAATGTGCTTCATCACCACCATCGCCCCCGCAACCACCAGCGCAATGAATGCCGCACCCCCCACAACACCCGCAATGATGGCAACGACGTTGACAGAGGAGGCTGCAGCTGATGGGGGTGCCACGGCCACTGCGAGAGGCGGGTTGCAGCTGTGGTAGGGGACTGGGGGAAGGAGGGAACAGATCGTAGGAAGAGAGGGGAAACAGGGAGAGGGAGAGGGAGAGGGAGAGGGGAGATGATAACCACCCAAGCCTGTCTTTTTACTAGCTCACCATTCAAGACAATATTCTCTCTTTACCATTCTCTCTCGTTGCAGACTCACCTTCCAGGCACAACTTGCTAACAAGCTCACCATCTCGGCACGTTTCGCCATAAGCTTATCATCACCTCAAGATTCGTTATAAACTCACCATCACGGCATGTTTCGTTGGGAACGACTAGGAGGCTGGTGTTGGCAAAGCTGCAGCCATACAGACAACGGGAGGGAGGTGGACGAGAGGTGGGACGAGTTGACTTTGATTCGACTCAAAACACGGCTCATTTCACGCGTTGGGAACGACTAGCAGGCTGGTGTTGGCAAAGCTGCAGCCATACAGACAATGGGAGGGAGGTGGAAGAGATGCAAGAAGGGGAAGGAAGGCGGGAATGGGGGAGAGATATTGCAGGGCCGAAGAGACAGAGTAAGAAAATGGTTGGAATAGGCATGGTGTGAACGTGAACGAACAGAGCTTATATCCATGCATTGCGCACTCCTTGGATGGGCATCTTGCGCACAATGAGGTGCATTTTGAGTCGACTCAAAAGTCTCCTCGCACTCCTTGGATGGGCACCTTGCGCACAATGAATACGTGCAGGTGCAGGTGGTTTTTGAGAATTCCAAAAAACAGCAGGTGCAGGTGCAGTGCAGGTGCAGGTGCAGGTGCAGTGCAGGTGCAGCCCAAAACCTCGATTGAAGGATGTGTGCTGTGCGTGCACTCATTGCATGCCATGGCATGGCACGGCACGGCATGGCACAGCACGGACGGCACGGCACAGCACGGCACGGCACGGCATGGCATGGCATGACAAGGTATCGCATACTCTTGGCATGTGAAGTTCCTCCAGCACGAGGGGATGGGCCCGCGGAGAGGGTTGCCCATCACGTTGCTGAGGGGGTTATTGGGGAAGGGGGGGTGTTGTGGGAGGAAGAGCAGAAGAGGGGTGAGGGACAGGAGGGGTGAAGCAGAACTGGTGGGTCGAGTCGAGAAGCTCTACTACAGAGGGGTGCATGTGTTTAAGTGGAAGTTGGTCGTTCGTACCTCACTACTTGGAAGTTGGAAGAGGTGTAAATCGCTTGAGGCACTACTTGAACAAGCAGGTGCAATGCAACAGGAGGACAGCAGCATATTACGGTATCACCACTCACACGCAGGTGAGGTTGAGGTTACAGAGGTCTTCGGTTCGGACAGACGCCCTGTGAGGCTGTTGTTGGATCAACTCACTCACAAGCCACCTCACTTGTCTAAGGCGCTCCATGCAATGCAAGCAACAGCAGCAGCCAGGATAAAGCAACATGTGACTCACACGCAGGTGAGGTTGAGGTTGCAGAGGTCCTCGGACAGGCGCCCTGTGAGGCTGTTGTTTGCGTCCACTCACATGCCACCTTGCTCAGGTGACAGCACTCACAGCAGACCAAAACAAGACTGCACTCACACGCAGGTGAGGTTGAGGTTGCAGAGGTCCTCGGACAGGCGCCCTGTGAGGCTGTTGTTTGCCACGTTGAGGGCGGCGAGGCTGGGTGAGAGGGCCAGCTCGCTGGGCTGGTGTGGGGGGATCGGGTGGGTGCAGGCAGGAGTGGGTGCACATGGAGTTCAGAGTTGCTGTGAGGCTGTTGTTTGTCCACATTGAGCGAGGCGACGCAGGGGGAGATTGGGTGCAGCCATGCTACAGGCGCAGCAACCCTAAGCTAAAGGGGCAGCCTCAAGATCTCATGTGCTTTGAAGCCAAACGGTGCCCTACCCTAGTGACGTTTGTGACATGGGCCATGACGTTTGTTTCCAACCAACTCGCTACGCATGCGTGCATGCAGCATTGCGATACAAGAGAAGCAACGTGTCAAGCTCGCAAAAACGGAAACAAACGGTCAAACGGTGCCAAACGGTGCCTCAGAGACTCACAAATGCGCCATGGAGTTTGTTGCCCGCAAGATTCCTGCTCCAGGTAAGGCCGTGGCAGGTGACATGGGGAAACACGCAGAGCGGGGAGTGGAGAGGAGCGTGGGGAGTGAGGGAGTGGGACAGCGGGGAGGGGAGTGGGGATAGGGAGATTAAGGGAGTGTGTGGGTGGGTGGAAGATATGGGTCGAGGAAGTGGGGGAAGGAAGGAAAGTGAGATGTGGGAAGATAAGCAGGAGAAAATGCTCGAAACGGGGGGGAAACGCCTTTTGGCGGGGGGGGGAGGGGGGAGGGGGGAGTCGTACCACTGCCAACGAGTAAGCGGGAAAACAGAGTTGAATCACAGATCCTAGAGGATCGGACTCACAGGGTCTTGAGAAATATGACAGCAGCAATGTCAAACGAGAAGGGACCCTTGAGCTTTGGGAAATTGCCAGTCACGTTGCTTGCGCTTAGGTCACTGCACAGGCACACACAGCCACACAACCAAACCCACACCCACACCCACACCCTCAACCACACCACCATCCTCACAGTCGCAAGCCAACGGCATGAGTCACAACACAACGCTTTGAAAAGATGGTATGTACAAGAACATGGCACATGCGATTCTATCCCGCTTATAGCAGACCCAACCAGGCAGAAACAACACAGCTGCTCCCAATCACTTCACGAATCAGTGAGTTACATGTCAGCGAGCCTGGCTGCCTATGCCACACCATATCCATGAACATTAAATGTACACGTCAGCCACGTACTTATCCATATACCCATACACTATTACTAGAACCTTCACGTCACCACAACTTAATCGGCACTACCCACACAAACCCACATCCGTACACTTCATTCTTCTGACGTATACGTCAGCCACGTACTTATCCGCAGTGCACGTCACCACACCTTATCCCCGCTGCTTGCCACACCCCACCCGTATAACTCCTCAGACGTACACGTCAATCACGTAGTTGATCGAAATTACACGTTTCGCACTGCACCTTATTGGCACTGCTCGCATCACCCGACCCGCACAGTCTACTCCTCGGACGTACACGTCAGTCACGTAGTTATCTGAATTGCACGTCACGCCTATCCAGTTGCCAGTGGGGCATGGCGGTGCCACGTCAGCAGCCCACGCGTACGGCGGGAAGTTTGGTATGGCTGCTGCGAAATTGTTCAAGTAGGTTACTGAGTTGATGAAGGAAGGCGGGGGGTGGGAGGGGGGGGTGGGGGGAAAGAGGGGGAAAGAGGGGGAGGAGGAAGGGTGGGGGGTTGGGGGGGGAAGAGGGGGGAAGGTTAGAGGGGGTGTGGGGGGTTGAAGCCAAGAAGGAAAGGAATATGAGGCGGAACGAAGAGGACGGAAGGGTGAGAAGAAGGAAAATAAGGGACGAGAGGAAAGAGGGAGGGAGGGAGCGAGGGAGGGAGTAAAGGAGGAAGGAAGGGTTACAGGACGGATAAGGAGGATGTGTGAAGGAACGATGAAGCTATGGGAGGAAGAAGAGATGAAGCAGGCTGAAAGGGAAGCAGCACTGTCCTACAGGGCAAAACGTATGCAGACTATAGTCCCCGATCCAAGCTAACCGGTAAGTGTCGCTACGACAAGATGAAGCTTCGGAGAAGCTTGAAAACTCGTATGGAGTGCCGAGCGTGGTACGCTTTTAAGATATTCAAAACCTGACCAGGAAGCGGAATGTCGAGTGACTTACTATCGCCGCGGTAGAACTCGAGAGGAATGTCGAGCTTTATAGCTTGCACGAGCTGTTGTTGCTGAGGCGAAATCACCGGAGCCAGCACCAACAGAAGCGACACGAGCGGGATGTTCCGGCAACTGAAGATAGCAGGACGCATCATGATATATACTACGCGCGATACCGTGAACACTGCGCGAGAGCTTACGCGATTTCGTGTCAGCTTACGAATACTAATGTGCACAATTTTTGAGAAGAAGCTGTCATCACAACAACGGATGCACTCGCATTCAACGGTCGTGAGAAAAATAACTATTTACAGAGAGAATCCCCGCACATGTAGACTGAGTTCGCGTAAGCTGACACTTCGGGAAATGTGGACTTCGAAACCTGCTATCGAACAGAACCATTATCAATGGCCTTTCATTCGACTTAGAAGGTCCATAACCTAACCCAGGAGGTCGGCGGAGAAGGAAGAAGTCTTGGAACATGAAGGTTGTTTTGAAAGGTTGAGCACGGTTCTGTGCAATGCGACTGGTTTCCGTCATTGGATGTGTACACACTATCTCGTGTTGACAAGCCCGTGCGAGCCTTCCGTCACTCCACAACTGTGGTTGAGCAAATGAGAGATGGCTGTGCCAGGGATGCCGCTTCTCGCGGCAACTGTTAGTTTTGGCGTCAGAACCAGGGTGTTCCTCTGTTGGCGGGAAATATCGAGAACGGCATACAAATTACCGTGAATC